GATGTACGCATCGGCCGAGCCGAAGGCGTCAAATGCCTCCTTTGAAAAGTCGGGGTCGCGAAGAGCCGCCCTCCGATGATGATGATTCATGGCGCTCTCCACTTCAGAGTTCGTGACAGACATATTTTCCAAAACCTCTATGGAAGGACAGTTCAGCGCCACTCCCGTGTCAACCCCCATCCTTAGGGCAGGGTACGGAACCTGACTAGTGGAGGCACGTCCGGCAGGGTCCCCGGACATAGTCCGGCGGACACTTTTCCTGATAGAATGCGGCGAATGGCATCACAATTTTATGTGGCGATCAGAGGATGTATTCTTGAAAAGAAAGCCTTACCTCTTTGACGAGGGTTCTGTCGTATTATCATTTTGCCTTCCTCTTTGAAGACGTGCTCGGCGCAGGCCCCACTCTCCTCGGAGACGCTTCTAGTGCATGTTGTGGCGATGAGCGCCTCCCCTTTGGAACACAAAATAGTATGGTGGGTGAGGCATAGCAAGGTAACTCTTTTGAAGAAGGTGTCTTTTAAATTACTTACATGCGAACCAGGGAGGAGGCCGGGGTAATCGGCGATGATGGGTACTTCCGTACCATCGTAACTCATCTGATAGAATACTCCATCCTCAAGCTCCACAAATATGTCCGGATCTTCTACGTATCCGGGGTCAAGGTCCCGGTTGTGACCCTCTGGCTGGGGAGCGGGGCTATGGATCCCCTCGATAGCCTTCCGCCATTCTTATAGCAAGTGGATAGGTTACTGTCCATCAAAAATGATCCAGGGAGAGGAGTAAAATGGTGGGATTGGAACGTACCCAGCTAGGAGGATTATACATGGAAAATCCATCTCGACATTAGAGACGAGTAAACTCCTCCTTCTCCCCCTTATACAGTTCGGCCAATATTTTAACCAAAGCGGCGGGAGTTTTCGGACCCTTCCGGCCGCAGCGTGAGGCGTCGTCTTCCCCATTATAGTGCCACATGGAAAGCCCTCTGTATTGGAGTGGTTGGACCCCTCGCACTATGGAGATCGCCATTACCTCGATTGTTGACAATCCGGACTGGGCGAGCATCTTAATCTTGCCCATCAACTGACTAACTTCTGCACTATCCTCCTCCTCGAGGCTCCAAGGACGCCAGCTGTGGCGTTTCTTCAACGGAGCGCTTGAAAATTTGGGGAGGCCCATTCGGACTGGGTCAGGAAGGGCGACGTCGTCAATATAGAACCATTCGAAAGTCCACTCTTCGGAAGCCTTCTTCGGCGTGCCGGACAGGTATCCGGTCCCGGCGATACGCCACATTTCGGCTCCTCCCACTTCAAATATTGACCCCCCCCCCTTGATTACGAGGGACGAGGCAGAACAATTTTCTTCATAAATCAAAATGGGCCTAGCAGCTTAGGAATAGCTCACATAGATCAACATAACCCGCGATATGCAGGATGGAGGCGGGAGTTTAACTGTGCAGTTGAAGGCCGTAATACTCCAGAAGCCCTCGGAGGAAGGGATGGATTGGAAATCTGACGCCTCTTAGCAAAAAGGGGACGAGGCATACTCGTTTCCCCCTGGACGGATTGGGGAAGTTCTCCACCTGAACCCCGACATTGAAGGACGCCAGCCCTGCTCGGACGGGGACTAGATCCACGGGAGGAAGAAAGCCTTATTTTTGCAACTTCGATAGCTGACTGCGAGATACAAAGCATCTCTCCCAATTGCCCTTTTCGGAGCCATGGGGATGAGAGGAAGAGCTGGGAACATTAGCCATGTTGGGGTGGTTCTGCCTAGCAAGCTCTGAGGATTTTTCCGCGGGGTGTGGAATGGATCTGAGATCTATTCTCATTAAATAGGCACCTCTCTTGTATGGTCAGGGTGGTATGTGCAAGAATACCCCGACCTCTCGAATTCACTCGACACATGGAAGCTGAAGACGGGAAGGCGTGGAAGCCGAGGGGTACGATATTAAATGGAAAGCCGAATACATCACTTTGAAGTCATCAGAGGAGGAACCCGCCTTGCAATGCCGAAGACTATCTACGCGCCGGACACCTCGTCATTGAAGTCTGGTTCGGGGGCTACTGAGGGAGTCCTGGACTAAGGGGTCCTCGGGCGTCCGACCTATTAGACATGGGCCGGACTGATGGGCTGTGAAGATACAACGACCGAATACTCTACCCGTGTCCGGATGAGACTCTCCTTGACGTGGAAGGCAAGCTTGGCGACCAAATATGAAGATTTCTTTCTCTGTAACCAACCTAATGTAACCCAGGATCTAACCAACCTAATGTAACCCAAGATCCCTCCAGTGTCTATATAAACCGGAGGGCTAGGTCCGTAGACAGATATCTCCTCATAATCATAGTCAGGCAGGCTATACTCTTAGGGTTTAGCCATTACAATCTCGTGATAGATCAACTCTTGTAATACTCATATTCATCAGGATCAATAAAGCAGGAAGTAGGGTATTACCTTCATAGAGAGGACCCGAACCTAGCTAAATATCGTGTCCCCTGTCTCCTGTTACCATCAACCTTAGACGCATAGTTCGGGACCCCCTATCCGAGATCTGCCGGTTTTGACACCGACATCGTGCACGGCCGAGCTCGGCCATGGCCATGGCCGCCGAGCTCAAGATCGAGTGGACGACGCTACTTTTGCAACAACGTGCCAAGTCAACACCATTTACGAGCAAAACCCCCTTTAATCATCTCCAAACCCATCGAGGGCCACATTTATCCGGTTTCACAGAGTTTAGGGGGAAATAATCCAATTTTAGAGTTTAGGGGGATATTGATCCATCAAGTAGGATTTGAGGGGGGGGGAACTATACTTTCAGTGATAGGCGATGGCGCACCGGCCGAAAATTTTGGCCTGTCGCATCCCGTGCGTTCGCTCCGCTAGCTGCGAACCATCAGATCAAGAGTGCTTTGTCCCCCACATCCGCATCCGAACCCGCACGAGATAAAAAAAGGAAAAAAAAAGAGGAAAGGATGCGGCTCAGATCGCCGAAATCCATCGCATCGCTGACCCCGCCTGCGCAGCCGCCGGAGTCCCGCTCGCCGCCTCATCGTCGACGGGTTCGTTCCAGCAAAAACAACGTCGCATTCAAGCATCATCAAGTTCACTGTTGCAGCAGGTCGTAGTGGTCGACCGTCGTGTGACATCGCGATCCACCACCATGAGTTCACCGGTCCCAACACCCTACGATGCCGGTTCCAGCAAAAACAGAGAGGTGGTCTAGGAAAAAAACACAAAGAGCAGGCGTCGCCAGTTTGAAACAAAAAAACTTGATTCCAGCAAAGAATTATGTGCTTCCAGCAAAAAAACAATGTTATGATCCAGCAAAAAACTGAACATGGTTCCAACAAAATTTTGACACGGTTCCAGCAAAAATTGAAAAGGTTTCCAGCAAAATTGAAATGCCAGTGCAGCAAAAAATCATGCCGTCCACCGCCGTCCCAGGGCCATCCTCGTCGGTTGTAGCAAAGTCAAATGCTAGATCCAGCAAAAATAAGAAGTGGTTCCAGCCAAAATTTGATGTCGCAAAAATCATACGGCGACGACACCTCCATCCTCTCAATTTGCAGCAACACCGAAAGCTGGTTCGAGCAAAAATTAAAAGTGGTTCCAGCAAAAAAATGGATGCAGTAAAAAAAATCATGGCGGACACAACCATCGCCGACCACCACCAACCCTCGCCGGTTGAAGCAAATCCTCCGGCCGGTTACAGCGCTGCACCTCATCGGTTGCAGCACGCCCCCCTCGCGTCGCCGCCGGTCCCAGCATTTGTCGTGTTGGACACAACTGCCTCCGCCGCGGACCGGCCGCTCCACTGCCGGTGAGCTGCCGCTCGTAGTAGTGCGCGACGCCATAGCCTCGTAGCAGCCTGCAGCGCGTCCCGTCGTCGATTGACCGTTGTGCGGCCTGCCCCGCAGGACGAGCATCAGGCTCGTCGTCGCCACGCAACCCCGCCACACAGCACGGGAAATCAGCGAGCTCGTGCACGCCCCCTGTATGGGTGCTCACGCGTAGTCGGATGTGGGGATGAGGCCGCAGGGCACGCGAGATCGAGGGATGCCATGGCAGAGCGACGAAGAAAAAATGAGATATGAAGGCGAAGATTGGCCCTGTTTGGTTCATAAGTCCTAGGACTTTTTTTAGTCCCAACTTATAAGTCCCAAGTCCCTAAAAAGACCCTGCCTGTTTGGTTCCTGGGACTTATAAGTCTCTATAAGACCATATTACAACTATAAGTCCCTATAAGTCCCTCCTTGAGAGTCTTATTGCATAAGTCCCAAATGCCCACTTTAACTCCCTATAAGTCCCTCCTGTTTGGTTTAGATGGGACTTATAGGGACTTATTTAAGTCCCTAGACCAATAAGTCTCTGGAAACAAACACCCTTAAGGCCCTGTTTGGTTAATAAGTCCTAGGATTTTTTTTTAGTCCCAACTTATAAGTCCCAAGTCTCTAAAAAGTCCCTACTTGTTTGGTTTCTGGGACTTATAAGTCCCTATAAGACCATATTACAACTATAAGTCCCTCCTTGAGAGTCTTATTTCATAAGTCCCAAATACCCACTTTAAGTCCCTATAAGTCCCTCCTGTTTGGTTTAGATGGGACTTATAGTGACTTTTTTAAGTTCCTAAACTAATAAGTCCCTGGAAACAAACACCTCAACTCACATGCTCAGTCCTGAAAGAGATAAGGCAGGAAAGAGGGAAAGCGGTGGTTGGCCCCACAAGACGCGTGTGTGGTGGGAGGCGACCGGTGCAACGTTTCGGCCGGTGCGCCGGGTCTAAAGGTTTACCTTCCTCCTGTAGTTTTGGGCAAGGGAAGGAGACGGCCCAAGCTCGGCCTGCCACAGTTCCGCGGCATAAATTTCACAACGACCTTCTCTTCCTTCTTTGTTTATAAAATTTGAACGGCGCCGCCCTCCCCAAATCGCCCCGTTTCCCCACCAATTCCCCACCCCACCTCGCTCCCCCAAGGTCGGCAGCCGGAGCGAGCGCGATGGCTGAACCCAACTCGTACGAGGAGCAGCGCAGGAGGCAGGTGGAGGAGACAAGCGGAAGCTGGAGGAGCTGCGCCTGCACCGCCTCTCCGTCGCCGTCCGCGAGGCCGCCGTCAAGCCGAAGCCGGTCAGTTCAAGCCCATGCCTCCTTCCTGGCAAAAGGTCTCGCCTTTCTCCGCTTCGCTGTCTGGTTCCTTACCCCGTCCGACTTTCTTGGTGCCGCAGACCAAGCTGCCGAGGCGGTGTCGCGACGCCCCGACTCGGCGGTCCGGCAGGGTCGCCGGTCTGCCCGAGCAACCCGATTACCGCGACAGGAAAATCAGGTACACCCATGCCTCACCCAAACTGTTCTTTCCATCGATTTTTTATGCATAGGAATAGGAAGCACTACTTACTACTCCATTACTTGGTTGTCTTTCAGGGGAGGGGCATATGTCCAAAGAAGGCAATTGCCACCCGATGATGTGTACGCCACCGACGAAGCGAGCGCCTACGCCCTCACCAAGGCTGAAGAGCTCAAGAGCCAGCTGTGCTCCGACCACCCTTCCTTCGTGAAGCCCATTTGCTATAAAACTGCCACAGCTAGCTGCCTGGTAAAGCAAGATGACTACCATTGACAATGCATTGTGTCCATCCCATCTGTATGGTAGTGTCTTACTGGACGGTAATTTGATTTGGTCGAATATCTTGCAGCGCATACCTCAGCTATTCAAAGGGTGGTATCTCCCGTGGTGTAATGAGATGATTTATCTGGTGGATGAACAAGATGTTGAGTTTCATTTGCCTTACCATGCGCTAAGTGGTTCCATCGGCACTGGGTGGAAAATGTTTGCCATCGGCCACAACCTAGCTGACGGTGATTGCTTGGTGTTCCAGCAAGTTCAGAAAACAAAGTTCAAGGTGAGACTCTTGAAGTTATTCTAGAGCCCTATTGGGAACTCGGGATATCCTTTAAAACCACATGTGGTCAGAGTTAACGAGTCATTTCTTATGGATTTTCTGTGCAACTCGTTGCATCATAATTGAGAATTATGATTCTATAGCTTCTAAAATTTTGCTTGGTGAGTTAATGGTGTTATCCACATGAATGTTCAAGTGTTTAAATTCAATGTTATTGTGCAGCCAAACAATGATGTCATGTTGACCGAGTTTCCCACATCACGAAACAAGAATTGCAAATGAACAAAAAGGGATCGTTAAGACATAATGATAGGGATGATCCATGTATGTTGATGTAACTATGACTAACTATGCAACCTGTATTATGTAATGCATGTCTACATAATTAGAGCAAGTTCCTACTACGAAAAGGACCACTGTTGACGCCTTTAGCTTCAACTATTGCGACCACAACAGGTAAGTTGATCTTACCATCATCTGCATTGGTTCACAATAATTCAAGTGTTAAAAAGATATAATTCATTTTTTCGTGCTATGTAACCATTTCCTTTTGCTATGATGCTTCGTGCCCCAGCATTAATGATTCTTTTCTCCATTTGAATTCCAAGATGTTCTTGAACAGTTTTCACCTTTACAGTTTACCATACAATAGTCTTGAAGAGAAAATTCTGACTTATCAGTTTTTTTATCCCTAGATGCTCCTTGTTTTGCTGCCGTGCACGATAGTTAAACCATGATGAGTTAAACATCATGTTGAAATTCCGCAAAAATAAAATCATGTCGAAGGTTAAACAGTCAATTTCTATAAAAGAATTAACTATACTCTATGAATCATTACTTCCAAACTTATTCCCCTTCAATGTAGCCATGTTAAGCTGTTCAGTACCCCGCCATCAACCAGCACCTGTGCACAGCAGTATATTTGGCCTGATTTGATATCATGTTTCGATTCCCATAAAAATTATAGTGTCCATCTTTTTTTCCTTATAAATTGTGTAGACTAATAGATGTAGAATTGAATCAAATTAGTTGCTTCACCTTAGCCTTTATACTATCTAACTAATTGATTTGCTCAGTGCCTTGCAGGATGGAAATATATGACTGGAGCGAAGATCAATGGGAGCTTTGCTGTCCTGAAGTTTAATATATTAACATGGAATGAAGAATGGTAGTGGAAACAAAGTATTTCATTTGATTGGGTCTGTTAGATGTATATAGTCCATTGTGTACATCCCCATTGTATAAGGGGCTTTTCTGCACTTTACCACATCTGTATATGTACTGGCCATTGGCCCTCAGTAAAGCTAAGTTGCTCATTCCTAACATGGTATCAGATGCTTAGGTTCCCCTTGCTCCCCCGCACGCTGCAACTCCGTGCTCCTCTGCTCGATTCTGGCCACCGCCGTCGCTCTCATCCCGTTCGGATCCGCCGCTCCGGCTGTCCCGTTCGGCCTCGTCTCCCCCGTCTGGCGCATCTTGGCCCGCGCCAAGGGAGCGCTTCTCCATCCCCCGAGTGAGCACGCTCCTGTCGGCCGGCCGCGGGAGCGCCTCCTCTGCTCGATCCCGCCTCGGGAGCGCCTCCTCTGCTCGATCCCGTCCGGGTCGGGCGCTCCTCTTCCCCTCGCGCAGTGCCCGCGCGCTCCTCGTCCTCTCGCTCCGGGCCGCGACCGTGCTGGGCCGCGTGCTCCTCCTCCTCTCAAGCCAGACTGCGCGTTCCCTGTCCGTCTGCCTGCGCTGCTCGCCTGGCTGCATCGGGGAGTCTCTGTCTCTCGCGCTTCCTGCCCGCGGCCGCTATCTGTGGCCTCGCTCGCTTCCTGGCTCGAGATCCCCTCGATCCAGATCGAGTTGAGGATCCGTTGACCCAAAAAAAGACAGCGAGATATCTCAGTAGGCCATCTTCGAGCTATGTGGTTGTTCCTCGCTGCTCGGTGATCTTTGATGGCACCAACTATGCTGAGTTTGTGGGCTTCATGCGTATCCATATGCGCGGTCTTCTACTGTGGGGCGTACTCTCAGGCAATGTAGCTTGTCCGCCCTGTCCCGTTGCTCCGATGGCCCCTGTTCCGCCGGTTCCGCCTGTGCTTGCTGCTGATGCCTCTCAGGCTGATCGTGATGCAGCCAAGGCCCTTGATGACGCTGCGGTTGATGCTTATGATCAGCAGGTATCTTCATATTCTGATGCTCTTTCTGTCTATCGGGATGATCTGTCTGCTTACACTCAGTGGTGCAATGATGATGCTCGAGCTGCTGCCGTTCTCACTGCGAGTGCCCTTCCTCAGTTTGCTTCCGAGTTCATGGGCCTCGATACAGTTGCAGCGATGTGGTCCTACCTCTGTCAGCGCTATCAACCCTCTGGCGATGCCCTATACCTCTCTGTGCTGCGTCAGGAGCATGCTCTCCAGCAGGGTGATTTGTCTGTTAATGAGTTCTACTCACAGTGTTCTGCCATCTGGCGTCAGCTTGACTCACTGAGGACAGTTGTTTGTGGAACCTGCCGTTGTTGTCAGACTACGCGGTCTGACTTGGAGTTTCAGCGGGTCCATGAGTTTTTATCTCGTCTCCGCTCCGAGTTTGAGCCCAGACGTGCTCACTTGCTTGCTCGTGGTCGTGTTCCTATCTCGGAGGTGCTTGCCGAGCTTCGTGTTGAGGAGACTCGCCTTCGCTCTGCCAGTCTGCTGATGGTCCCGTCTGTATTGGCTGCTCGGGCTCCAGTATCGTCCGCTCGCCTCACTACTCCCCCGCTCCTACCCACGCCTTTAGGGGGTGGGTCGCCCTGCTTATGCTGAGAAGGGCCGGTCGCGGCATGACACCTTCTGTGGCTACTGCTCTCGGCCAGGTCATCCCGAGTCTGATTGCCGTGAGAAGAAGCGAGACCAGAGGCGCTCCTCTTCCAGTGGGACTCCTGGATCTTTCTCAACTCCGTCACTCACCGACCAGGACATTGTGAGGCTCAAGCGTCTCTTGGCTTCCTCAGGCTCTTCGTCGACTGGTTTCGCTGCTGTTGTAACTGCATCCACCTCTCCATCACCGCAGGCATCGACTCAGTCAGGTACATCTTCGTGGGTTCTGGATTCTGGAGCCTCCTTTCATATGTCTTCTGATTCTTCTGTGCTGTCTTCCCTTCGACCTCTTGATTCGCCTGTTAATGTTCTTGCTGCCGATGGCACACCTCTTCCTGTTACTAGTCGTGGTCTTCTTTCCACTCCATCTTTTTCTGTTCCTAGTGTTTCACATGTTCCTCGCCTTACCATGAATCTTTTTTCTGCTGCCCAACTTACTGATTCTGGTTGTCGTGTCATTCTTGATACCGACTCTTACTCCATTCAGGATCGTCGCACCAAGACTTTGATTGGTGCTAGCCCCCGGCGCCGTGAGTCCGAGGGCCTTTGGGAGGTTGACTGGCTTTGTGTTCCTTCCGCTGCCACCACTTCTGCCAGCTCCCATGCTCTCGCTGCCTCTTCGTCTGCGTCCTTCCAGCAGTGGCATCATCGCCTTGGTCACATATGTGGCTCTCGCTTGTCTTATTTAGTTCGTCAGGGCCTCTTAGGGTCCGTATCTGGAGATGTCTCCTTACATTGTAATGGTTGCAGACTTGGCAAATAGATGCAGTTACCTTATCCTACTAGTGAGTTTGTATCTCAGCGTCCTTTTGACTTAGTTCATTCTGATGTCTGGGGTCCTGCTCCCTTTGATTCGAAGGGTGGTCATCGCTACTATGTTTTGTTTATTGATGATTTCTCTTGCTACACTTGGCTCTACTTCATGAAATCTCGTAGCGAGGTTCTCCCTATATACAAACGTTCTGCTGCCATGGTTCACACCCAGTTTGCCACGCCCATTCGTATTTTTCGTGCTGACTCCGCTGGAGAGTATATCTCTCAGCTGTTGCGTGGTTTTCTCGCAGAACAGGGTACTCTTGCCTAGTTCTCATGTCCTAGCGCTCATACTCAAAATGGCGTTGCAGAACGAAAGCATCGTCATTTGCTTGAGACGGCTCGTGCGCTGATGATTGCTGCTTCCCTTCCACCCCATTTTTGGGATGAGGCTGTTTCTGCATCCACCTATCTTATCAACATTCAGCCATCGACTGCTCTGCAGGGTGCTATTCCTCTGGAGTGTCTCACTGGTCGCTCTCCTGACTACTCAGCTCTTTGTATGTTTGGATGTATGTGCTATGTTCTTCTTGCCCCTCGAAAACGCACCAAACTGACTGCTCAGTCGGTTGAGTGTGTTTTCCTTGGCTATAGTGATGAGCACAAGGGCTATCAATGTTGGGATCCAGTGGGTCGTCGCTTGCGCATCTTGCGTGATGTGACATTTGATGAGTCTCGTTCTTACTACCCATGTCCTTCTTCCTCGAGCTTCTCTGTGGACGACCTTTCTTTCCTTCTTCTTCCCAATACACCCTGCTATGTGCCTCATGTGTCACCTCCTCCTCTGGCACCTCTCATTCCTTCTCACTCACCATCGCCACCATTCTCCTCCTCCACCTCTCCGCCATCATCTCCCGTTCGTCACCCTCTCTCACCGTTTCCTCTTCACTATACTCGTCGCTCTCATACTGAGGATGTCTCCTTTGACAAGCCTTCCACCTCTGGTTCACCTCTAACGCCTCCCCCGGTTCACAACCTCCGTGCTCGGCCTTGCCCCCCGCCTGATCGCTACTCCCCTGATCGGTACGGTCTCTCTGCTATTGCTGAGCCCACTTCCTATCGGACTGCCCTGACTCAGCCTGAATGGCAGCTTGCGATGGCCGAAGAACTTGCTGCCCTTGAGCGCTCTGGCACCTGGGATCTGGTTCCCCTTCCTTTCGGTGTCCGTCCTATCACCTGCAAGTGGGTCTACAAGATTAAGACTCGCTCCGATGGTTCTCTTGAGCGCTACAAAGCTCGTCTTGTGGCCCGTGGTTTCCAGTAGGAGCAGGGGCGCGATTATGATGAGACATTTGCTCCTGTGGCTCACATGACCACTGTACGCACTCTTCTTGCTGTGGCTTCTGTTCGTCAGTGGTCTATCTCTCAACT